CACAAGGGGAGGCACATAAAGGATGTGGTTAAGTGCACAGATTATGGAGTCACACTACATCCATTAGCCGAGTGGCTTAGCAACTACGTGATCTTGAACACTAGTTTTTTTGTTTTGTTTTGTTTTAAGAGGTTTTCACTTATAGGGCACGTGCACTCGCCAGACAGACAGAGAGAGACAGAGAGACAGAAAATGAGACATAAAATGAGGGGGGATGGCCACGTTGCAGTCCCTTCTCCTCCGTTCTCCTCTCAGGATCTTGGGCACGCACGCACACGCGCCCAGCGTGAGTTTTAAGCCACCGGGTCCAGGACGCAAACCGCAGTCTACTACGTGGGAGTTCAGTGACATAGCCATTACGCTAACTGCTAGTCCCCTTGAACACTAGTTTTCTCATCAGTTAGGAAAAGATATATTGGGTTGTTGGAAAAGTTATGACGTATTTTTCTATGAAAAAAATGCATCATGACTTTTCCGATGACCTAATAATAAACCTCATTATTTTATTATTGGGATAAAGTGCAATGATTTCTTTAAAGATCTTAGCACAGTATTTGGGTGACACATTCTGATCACCTGATACTAACCAGCAATTAGTAAAGAGGGATAGCTATGGTCAAGAGGGTAAGAATGACCCATTAAGTATCAAAGCTGATCCTAGAGTAATTTTCTGCATTCTTATTCTTATTCTTTTTTATTAATCTAGCAGAGTAGGATATTCTCTGTCTATGTCAGGTAGAAAAAAATAGCCTCCATTTCCAAGTCTTCATATTTTCATTTGGACCCAGGGCTTTAAAAATACCAATGGCAGGGCCAGCAGGTGGCATGGTGGTTAAGGACTCTGGACTCCCACACGGCCAACCATGGTTTGAGTCCTGGACGTAGCGGCTTGCTTGCTCTCTCTCTCTCTCTCTCTCTGTCGTCCCTCTCTGGTCAAACTAAATTAAGTTAAAAAATATACCAGTACCTTGTTATGTCTAAAATTTTTGTCTTCAGCCTTTCAGCTTCTTCAGAATTGCATTATTTCACAGTCTATTTAGTGCATCCACTTCAGTGTCCATAGACTTTTAAGTTGTCCCTGTGATACTCATCCTGGTTTTCATGCCCTTGTGGAATCCCTTCCCCTGAGTGTGGTCTGGTCAAGAACTGACACTTAAATATAAACAAGACTCCATCTTGCTAGGTGACATGCTCTAGAGCTTTGCCCTCCCTGGAGGCTTTAAAGAAGCAACCTTCCATAAACCATAAAGCAGCAAGACAAAGAAAATTCCTGATGGCTTGCAAGGACTTAGAAACAGACACTATTCCCACCAAGCCTCTAGATGAGAACCCACTGACTGAGACCTCATTTGCAGATTTGCAGAGAACCCAACTAAGCTATGTCCAGACTCCAACCACATAGACATTGCAAGATATTAAGTCTGCACTGTTTTAAACCAGTAAATTTGAGATAATTTGTTATACAGCATAGAAACCAAGCACCAGGAACTAATAGACATTTTCTCACAAATTCATCACATCAAAAATAAGAGTACTGATCCCTCTCACGGCCAAATCTGTATCTTTTATGTGTTTTTCTGTCTAAGTTAATGGTCCCACCATTCACCCAGCTGATTAGGCAAAACACCTCAGAACCATTTGGAGAGTGGAGGTCCAAATGTTCTGGCCCAAGGCTAACTCTTACCTCATGTTCTACCTCTGTTCTACTTGTTCATTTTTGCCTAGTCACACTGATTTCCTTACTGTTTCTTAATCATCCAGAGCAAATTCCCTACAATAGTCATTTACTTTACTGTCCTTTCTGTCGGGAATGATTTTCTCTTAAATATTCTCAAGACTTGCTTTATTTTTCTTTTATTCACATCTCTGTTCTTATGTTGTATCCTGATGAGGCCTTTCAGGAATGATCTACTAAAGCAGAAAACTATGATTGCCATTTCATTAATCTTGTCTTAATTTTTTTCTTATAGCACTTATTAAAATGATCATTATTATCATTATTATTGTTTGTCCATTTATATTTTGTTGTCACACTAGAACATAAGCTACTAAATGCTAGATAACTTACAGGTTTTGTTCATTTCTATATTTTAAAACAAAATAAGGTGCAAAGGAACCATTTGATCAATTAGGCATAAAATTGCATTTGAAATCATTTTGGAAATATTCTAGAAAAGACATTCTGTCACAATGCTTATAGAGATCAAGTCATCTCAGGGACAAGTGCAAGAGTATACTTCAAACTATTATTGAATCTTCAGTGATAACTAATAATGAGACAATATTGTCTTCAGCTTTTTACATTGTTTTAAGAAATGATTTAAATGAATTATCCTTACAAAGTAAAGAGGATCCCTAACTACAGCTCTTGACCTCTCTGCCAGCAATCATTTTTTTACCTTTCCATTATGTAATTAGCACAAAGAAATAAATTGTGTGGCCAAAAAGTTAGACAACTTATTCCCCAAGTATTTTAATGGTGAGCATTAAAGTCAGGCCTGTAATATTATTCGACAGAGGGCAGAGACTGTGTTCACAGGAGGTTTGCTTAGGGTGACTCTATCCATCATACTGCCACTGTTTGACAGTCACAGACAAGAATACCTAGAAACTGCAAATGAATTTTCTCACTAACAATTCATGGTAATTTGAAGAATGCTGTATTTGGCAAACTTCTCTTACACTGCTCCATATGCTACAATATAAGGACGCTGCTTTTTATGCAGCCCAAGTTCTGTACAATACGGTATTTTGCTAACAGAGTGAAGTAATGTGCTAAATCAATTCAATCAAGTAATTCTCCCCTCTCTTGTCTGAGTCAGGGCTTTGCTTCTGGAGAACTGGGTAGCTCAGATGATTGATAACAAAATACATAACCTTTCACCTCCAAGTCACCAGTTTGAACACAAGCTAGTTGAGTAACGAGAGACATTTGTTTCCATCAGCTGCTCATCAGAGGTTTGCACGAAATGAATGGCTAGTCTCTATTTGCTTACTGGACCTGAAATAATAGTTACTTGCAATGAAAAATATATCATGCTGTGAGTAGAGGCCTAGAGTATCATTATCCTAATTTCCTTATCCAAGGCCCTAAAGATTTGCGATTGGCTGGCACTTATCAACATCAAAAAATTATCATTTTAGATTTTGAATAATTAAAATAAAAATAAATGCATGCAGTTTAGAAACAAAACAAGTATGCATGTAATAATTACAGTTTTGTCTTAGACTTGTTTTCATTTCTCAGAAATTGAGATGTCATATCTTGAAAATTTTAAAAAGATTTTATAATTTGTTTATGTTGATAAGGTAACAAATTTAAAAGTAAACTGACAGAAGGATGTTTGTTTCTGATCTTTCAAGATGAAGAAAATTATATCTTCCTATGTTCAACTGGCCTTAGATACAGTGAGTTATATTTATTGGGGCCCTCATATTTCCTATAAGCTATCAGAGTGTAAGTAATAAAAGAAACAAGCATTTTCACAGAGTATTTTAAAATATATGCTATTTGGCCAACCATGGAACTACAGCAGTTACACAATACTCTGTGATGCCTAGGCCATATTAAAAGGTATATTCACACACACACACACCCTTATATGTAGGTTATTTGCAATAGTCTTCTTTATGTTCAGTAGTGGGTACCTATACTCACCGTAATGGTTAAAAGTCATCATTTATAGCTATTCAAAAATATATGATTTGTGCTTCCTAGAACAAATTACTATATTATACCTTTCTGCCCCTATTAAAGTTAGGTAACTAAATGTAACTTGCTTTTTCTAATGAAATGTGCATGGAAATGACGTGCCACTCATCTCATTGCCATAATCATAAAAACATGAATGAACATTGTACTGATCCCACTTATGTATGAGTCAGATGTATTTTTGCTGTATTAAACACATGAGATTTAAGAGCTATTCATTACCAGAAGATTACTTAGTCTATCCTGACTGATACAAATCTATTTTAAACATGACATTGATAGCAAAATTTGTCTCCAAGGATGCAAAAGTAGAAAAGTCTGAAAAGAAGTAGTATATCTATATATATAGCATAAGAAAGGATAATAGAAAAGCCATAATGAAAGAATTAGAGAAAGATTTATGCATGGGGAATTATATAAATTATTGAAGGGGAGGGGAAATAGATTTTTGCTATTAGTACCTGAGATGTGGGAACTACTACTCAGGGAGATTTCTGAAAACCTGAAAATACTGGAGACAGAAGGTAGCTTATGTTTAAGGTGCTGGATTCCCACATGGCTGTTTTAAGATTATTCATCAAGGGAAAAACCAAACTTACCAATGAGAGAAAATCAACATGATTTCTTTACCAGAAGGTAAACCAAGGTATATTTTATGTGGATAGAAAATTTCCAACATTTTCTTGTGAATAACATGTAAGTATCTATAATCCCTGGAAATACTATACTGATTCAACCAACAGTGATATGTTTAGAATTATAGTAAAAGGGAAAGCGTGCGTAAGTATCAAAAGGGGAGCAGTGAAAGAGGAGAAATAACATCGTACCTTCATCTTCCAAGAAATTCATCATAACTAAAAATCAGCAAATATCAGTATATACCTGTTATTTAGAAATATGAACTAAAATACTAGAAGAAGCAGTTAAATTAGTTCAAAGTGACTGTCTCTGGGTAATGGAACTTAAACATACAGGAGAGGTAGATGAGAAAAGTATGAAAAAATGATATTTCAAAAAGGTATGTTTAATATCTAACAAAAATTAAATGTCTAAGTAAAACTAAAGAAACAAAAACATAGGCATGTCATTTTTATCATCTGAATTTCTGTTTTGGTATCATGAAGATTAAAACAGATTTAGTATTATAATGTAATTATCAAAGAAAATATATGTTCATTTTATAAAACTTATAAAATATTGAAAATAATTTCCTTAGACATACTCCTCCAGACAATGTCCAGAGTTGTTCAATCTCAGATGGAAAATGACATTCTAAAATGAAATAAGGAAGCCAGCCGATGAATCTGCTTTGCTGTATGTATTTCTGCAGGAATTTAGAAAAAGCTGGCAATAGTAAAGCCATGTTATGAGCCTTAAGTCATTAAGTTCCAAAAATGGCTACAACGAATTGCAATGGTGGGAAGCATTTCATTAGACATAGTTCATCATTACAGTTTCACTGAAACTGATGCTAAGAACTTAGTGAAATTTTAAATACTAATGAGAAAAAAATTTAAAAATAAAATGAAGGAACCACTTAACCAGAAATCAGAATTTTATTTCAATACTGAGGCTGTCTGCTATCTCAGTATACACAGGTAACAACGAAATGCCAGTTCAATAAGTAACCGTAGATTTAAAGTTTCCACCTGATAACTGAACATAAGAAAATAATCAATGCAGATTATTAGCACACAAGTAATGCACAATATTCAAAAGAGCTTTGAAATGATAAAGGAAATCATTACTTGTGATGGTTCACACAATTATATTATTGTGAAAAACACAAGAACACTCAACTAATCTATCTCATTGAAGGCTTTTGATCATTGAGTGAAGTAAAGAAATAACCAAAGAGGAAAATAGACAATGGTAGAGCTTTTTTCTCCTTCCTCCCTCCCTCCCTTTTCCTTCCTTTACTGTAAAAAGCAAGTGAAAGAAAGGTTAATTTATAGTAAGTAAAATGTTTCTCCTTGGGAAATAGTTGTCTTGGCTTAGGATTCAGCATGAATCAATCTTAGCTGAGGAGTAGGAGGAGGAAAACAGGATTTACCAGCCACATTTTGATGGTTGTGACCTCCAGGGCTTACCATTCTTGTAGATGTTGTTTTTTGACTCGTAGTTTTCTAATGTCTCTCACTAAATTGATTATTGCCTTTAGAAGTAATTTCATGGCTTTTGGAGTACTATAGCTTTATCTTTCTAACCTTCATGGCGCTGTGAAAGATTGGTCTCATTTCTTGTTAATTCTGATTCTTCTTTGAGGTTATTCTCACTCTCCAAGGGAATCATCAGGTACAGTGTTTATTAGTCTTACACATCATGCCACCTCTGGAGAATTTATACTGACTAATTCATCTTCCTTGACAATTGCCAAAATAAATGCTAGCCCGAGCAGTAGCTTTATTTCTGTGAACTTATTTTATTGTGTGCCACCTTTCATAGCAGAAAGCGGTCATAAAGACCAAATAGACAAGGACTTCCTATTTCCAATATTACATGTAGTAGTCAGTTTTAAATCATTTTAGCTCCAAAACTTCTTTTGAAATAGTTTCACCCTACTTTTGTTATCTGACATATTCATTTCTTCTTGTAAATGGCAGCAAAGAGAAGTGGAAGAAACAATTCACTAGTTTTAGAGTCTAGATTCTTGTCTCAGCTGTATGTATGATCTTATACAACTTACTTAAGTTCTTGAAACTTCTGTCCTATCATCTACAAAATGTAAAACCTTACCTCTAAATTTGGCTCAAGTTTGAAGTCTTCATGGCCAGTAAGAGATAGTATCTTACCTGTCAAATCTTCAAACACTAAGTTCACCCAAAAGCATAGTTTACTCTCCATTTATTAAAATGCATCTAGAATGTAATGCCCCAAATCTCTCAATAAAAAAAAAAAAGTCTTACTATAAAGTGCTCTTTTACATTACACAAATAAAAGACCAGTAGATGCCAAAATCACAAAAGTATGGAACCAGGTCTTAAAGCAAGTTAGTAGAGTAGTAGTATTCTTGATTTTTTTCCTCAAAAATTCCATATTCCGAGTCCAAAATCTGGCCTTTATCAGAAAGAGAATTTCCAATTTCTGGGTTTAAATAAACAGGAGAAAGAGGACAAATCTTCCTTACAGAATAATTCTGTTAAATGTAGAAAAAGTGATAGAAATAGAAAATCACCATTAGAATCCAACATCAATAATTGCTACAGATGAAGTTCACTGATGCATGTTAAAATTAGCAGACAAAATTTCAAAGGGAAATAGGATACTTGCATTTCCCCAAACTCTCTCCTTCTCAAATATGTAGTAACTATTGTGGTGATTTTATCATACAAGCACCAAAATTTTGATACACTTCACTCCAAAACATGGAGCTTAGCTCTCCTTTGAGTGTGGGACGAATGTAATAAAATAGTTTACATGCAAAGAAAAGAACATGTAAAGGGAAAAGCAGTGGCTTTATAGTGGAGAAACCTGGCAGACACAACCTTTAAAAGTGATTCAGGTTAAGCTCATCAGTGATAATGCATGTTGGTATGATGTACCTCTGCAAGGATACAATGAGGAGGAAACATTACCTCTGTAGAATTCTTTCATAACACCCAGAATAACCACGAGAGGAAAAAAACAAAAACAAAAACAGGTAAACCCAAACTGAAAGACATTCTATGAAACACCTGATCCATAATCTTTGAAACTCTCAAGGTCATGAAAACCAAGAAAATACTGAGAAAAGGCTATAAACGGAGGAAACTAAGAACAGAAGTCATATAACCACATTATAGTACTCTGGATTGGATCTAAAAAAAGACAAAAAAAAAACCCACTAATAGAAAACTGTATATCAGAAAAATATCTGTTTTGCAAGATCTAGAGAATATTTTTTTTTGGGTGCAATATTTCTTTTTTTTATTACACTAGATTACATATAACTTTACATTGACTTCCATTGCTTTTTCAAAAGGGAATGCCATGCATGTCAGTCAATACAGAGATATCAATCTCCCCGCTTTATCATTCAATATCTTTTCCATGCTTTTCCCAATAATTATTGTTATAATTTTTTTTAAACAGTCAATCACTATTTCTCATTTTGCTTATTAAAAAGACTTCACCCATCATGAAATACTTCCCAGACCGGTTCATTTGAGAATACTATACATGTCATCATCAACAGGTAATAAACCATATCTATTTCTCATTAACATCCTGCCTCTCTATTGTTCACTGCTGTCTTTATCCTCTTCTCTCTCCTTTTTTTTTTTATACTTTGTTTTTTATTATAAAATTTTTTTTTTCTCATCACAACACACATATGAATTTTCCATCCAAAATACACTGTGCATTGGCTCAATCAAGCACATCAACATATATGTTCTCAGCAAATGATTTCCCAATTTTTGTGTCCTGCATACCTTGCCTTTTGTTTTGCCATCCTAGATTCCCCATCCCCACCCTCTGCCATGTCCCATCTTCCTCCTCCATTGTCCCTAACATTCATGATTGCCCTCAATGCCTTCCGCCCCCCCCATTCAATTGTTCTACCAATGAACTCAATTAGTCTAAGTATATCCACTAGCTAGCACAGCTGACATATCCTTACACATGTATCCAAATCTGATCCTAGGCATAAACCCCAGGGAGTAGAATGAACATACTATAAAGTAGACCCCAGTTGTGTCCATACAACTCTCTTCAGTCATCAAATGTGCATTTTTTTTTCCTCCTGCTTATTATTATTTTATTTTATATTAAATTATATTGCCTAACACTCATTCCCTGAGTATCATCACAACACACCAAGTGTAGTTTCCCATCTAGGATAAACTACATAGTGTCTTAATCAAGCATGTCGTCACCAATACTGTTCCATTTCTACTTTCATACATATAAATATGTTTTTTATCCTATGTTTGACCCTCAGCCCTTTCCCCCTCTCCCAATTACTCTATCTCTGCTATAGACAGCTATCCTCCAGAGGGGTCATTGAAAATGCGATACCTGCGAGTAGAGGGAGAGGGGTCACGAGTCCAAAGTTTTTAACAATAGGGAAAATAGATTCCATTCAAGGTTGGATCAAGTGTGGGTCTCATAGAGAATATTTAAAATTCTACAATAAGAAGTCAAACAATTCCACTGAAGATAAGTAACAAATTACATATAGCAACCAAAATGGTTAATTTAAAAAAAAAAAAACTGACAGCATCAAATATTGAAGATGTATAGCAAATGTAACTCTTGAACATTGACAGTGGAAATATAAAATGATACAACCACTGTATTAAAAGTGTCTCATTGGGACCAGCAGTTGGTGTAATGGCTATGTCGTGTGACTCTCATGTAGCCAACACTGGTTCAAGTCCCGGACCCAGTGGATTTTAAACTCATGCCAGGCGCGTGTGCGTGCGTGCCCAAGATCCTGAGAGGAGAATGGGGGAGAAGAGATTACGGCATGGCCATTCACCCTGGGGGGTGATTTCTCACTTTCTGTCTCTCTGTCTCTCTCTGTCTTTCTGGTGAGCGCATGCGCCCTATAGCAAAAATCTCTCTTAAAAAAAAAAAGTGTTTCATATACAAACTCACGTTTACCATATGACCTAAAGATCCCATTACTAGATAGTTACTCCAAAAAATTAAAACATACATCCATAAAGAGAACAATCAAACGTTAATAACAGCTCTATTAGCTATAGCTACAAATTGAAAATGACTCAAATATTCAACTTGGACACAGATAAATAAATTTTTGGTTATATATACAAGATGTTACAGTTTTTAAACAAGACAAATACTGACACATACAAAGGCATGGGTGGATGTCAAAAATATCATGTAATAAAAAAAGTCAGACATAAAAGACTGCATAGTATATTAGTCAATTTCTATTAAAAAGCCAAATAAAATAAATTTATAATAAGAGAAAACTGATCAGTAGTGCTAGACCCAGGAGTGGTGAGAGAGAATTCACTGCTAAGGGGTACAGAGAACTATGTAATGTAATGGAAAAGTTTTATATTATGAATATTGTCAAATTACATCAAACTGCACATTGACTGGTGAATTTTATTGTATGTAACTTATATCTCAAAAAAGATCATCAAAAACAATTTTTAAAATGCTGAAAATAGATCCTCAGATAAGTACATAATATCTGACAAATTAGAGGGGTAGCCTTGGAATACCAACCTAAATGTTTAGGACCATTCAAACATGTTTTCTACTTTAGACATTCATAGGCATCATATTGTTTGTGAAAATGGATGAATATAAGTAGTAGTTGAAATGCCAAGACATCAAATTAAGGCTTGATAATATTACACGATTATGGAGGAGCCAAGTTAATATGTCTGTCTGAGCTGAAAACAGTACACTTAAGCCTTGGGACAAATTTCAAGGTAATCTATGTATA